GCTTCTGCCTTCTGCGCTTGGCACGGCCGTAAGCCGAGCTATCTCGGACTATCACGACAGTTATTAGGTACCGCAGGGAGCTGCGCAGCTGCACCGCTCGGTGTAGTTTCGCCTGACGCATTCCTCCTTGGCCAGCCGTAATGGCTTTACGTGTTTCCCTTACCCCTGCTCAGGTGTTCTGCGGAAAGAAAACGGCGAAGTTAGGAAGCGTGGAAAGACCTTTCTTAATCCACAACATCCCTACGTGGGGAAACACGCTTTTCACCTTCCTTTTGCAGACAGCTAGCATCATTTCAACAGCTAGTCGTGGCAGTGCAGAAGTGTTTCAGAGCAGCCGGGCGATTCGTCAGAGAGGTATATCACATACTCAGATTATGTGTTGGATTTGGAAACACACATTTGTACCATAAAACAGCTTACGTTCTCCTGGTACGAAGAAAGGAGGAGAATGCCTAGGTGATTTTACTCTTGGATGGACCGAAACTTATTTCTAAGACTCACCTTTAAATCAAAACAATTTGTCCATTGTAAAATCCTTGCCTTTAACAACCTTGTTGATTAAATTATCTTTGATCTATTTTTTGATGCATCCTTGATGTAAATTATCTTTTGATCTATTAAATGCCGGGCTTAGAGCAGCTTTTTCTTCTAACAAATGGTTTAAATGATCTGTCTGCAGTACTTCACATAAACTCCACCAACCTGAGTAAATATTCTCCATAGAGGTTGCCAGTGAATGTACATGATATAGTAGCATCTCCCAAAAATTCAACTTTATACTTTACAGGCTGGAATAATACCCACCCATATTTCATAGAGTCCCGTAAAATTCTGTAGCTTGTTTCAGTTTTTGAGCATTATAGCAAATTATTTTCTAAACTTTGTGGAGGAGTTTATTATCTAGTCTGGGAAAAGACGAGCAATGCTATGTTTCCTTAAGAGAGAGTTAACAGCTTAAGGTTACTGATAAAGACCCTTTTTTAATTTTACTTTATTTTTACATTTCAGCAGTTCCTATTCCACTGAAAAATCTCAGATATCATTAATTGGCTTTTGGTGTGTGTCCATTCCTGAAAAAATTGCAGTATTTTTTCTTAAGATGCTTTCAGAAGGTGGCATTCGGGCAGAGGTAACTTTGGCTTGGCTGCTGAATCACCTCAGAAGAGAAGTCTGTAGTAAAAGGTTTCACTGATATATCCGAATCTACCAAGTGCCCAGTCATTTATTTTTTTCTTAAATCTCAAAAACTGGTAACAGTTACATGATTTTCATAATTACCACAGTAAGTTTGGGAGCAAACAAGAAAACAAGACAATGTGGTGAATATGTGGTTAGTAAGGGGGGGAAAAGTTTAAGGAACTGCTAAAGGACATGCTGTGTGAAGGTTTGGGGCACGAAAGGGAGGAGAATGTGGGAGAGAGGAGATGGGGAGACCAGACGTAAGACCTCACTGCTTACATTGCTGAACCTGGAGAATATAAGGTGTGTTTGCAGTGTAGTTCAGTCATTAAATAATGCACAAGGGTTTATCTCAGATAGCTGGTTGCAGCGCTCGCCTGGTAGTCAAAGAATGAAATAAATACCCAATGTGTAAACCCAAACGTATGTAAAGTAGGTAAATACAGTGTAGTCTTAAACGTAGAGTTCCTCATTCTTTGTGTATGTGTAGGTGTGGATAAAGGCTTACATATGCAGAAACTATTAAAACCCAAATTGTTTAGCTAACTCCTAAGTAACAGACTGGCGAAAAAAAGATCTGGTTTAACTGATTTCGGTATGAGTAAGGGGGAAAAGAAGGTTCTTCTTTTTTTCCTGTTTCCTCTAGTTATAAAAATTACAGTGATTACACATCATAAAGCCTATCTGTAATAAAACGCATCAGCTGGCCAAGGTTTTCATCGCTCACTCAATAATCCATTAATACAGCAACGCTGCCCAGGCATCTTTATAATACCAACTCGGAGGTAATTTTAATCAGCTAGACCAGCTGGTATTTAACAGCAGCTGCTGGAGACGCCACAAATATACTCAATAGCTGACATCTTTATTTGCAGTTTTTCAAGGGGAGAAGAGATCCTCCTGTGGTTACTTATATTAAGGTTTTTTTTTATATATATATAAGTATTGGTACCGGAGGGTAATACCTGAATGGAAGAGGGAATAGACTTAATACAAAAAATAAAAAATATATTCTTGGAGTCAGAGGGCTTTTTCATGAAGTGCTCTTCATAAATGAACAAAAAAAATAAAGCATAGATGCCAGCTTTGTTGGAGTTTAGAACCTTTTCCTGGTACATTTACACTAATCTCCGACATGGCTCGCAGCATAAAATGTACTCTGCAGTGCTGCATCGCCCTGTCTTACTGAAGCTCTCCTGTCTCTCCACGATATAAATATGTGATAAATAGTGCTCTTGGTAGAAAAAAGTGATGCTTGCTCACATGTGTTCAATTTTAACTGACATGTACTTCTTTTGTCCTCAGTTTTGGCTTAGAGCGTCTGCATGCAGGAGTGTATATGTATATATCTATGCTTAAAGACACGGGTGTTTGTGTATAAATAATACACAATATGTTTATTTGTACTTCTCATCTCTTATAAGGCTAGAGATGAATTCAGCAACTGAATAAAGTGCCGCTCTCTGCAGCAGTAAATGTGGAATACTATTTCGCATTGGGTTGGGGGAACAAGCAGAGGCAACACGAAGTTAACAGTCACAAACACATTATAAATAAAAATTTAATTACACTTGGGGGAGCTTGGCTTACAAAGCTCACAAATCCATAATGGAGCTTGCTGGTAATAAAGGCCTGATCTGTTTGTTAAACTCCAATATTCCTGTCCTTCTGTATCTCTTCTTTTATATAAAACTTCAGTTTCTGCATTGATTACCGATTGCAAAAAAGACTGACTTCACTGGTAAACAGTTTTTTCTGTCAGATACCAAATGCCGTATTTCTTTATTAAGAACATAGTTATGACTCTTAGGTAGGGCAGGGGAGGTTCCATGAGAAGTGTAAGTATATCTATTTTCGTTGACTATTTACAATATGTCATCCTGGATGAGATCTGTGTTTAATACGAATTTGACTTGCTGGAGATAGGTTTTTATTAAGTTATGAGCAAATTCTAAGGTAGCAGCTTCTTTGCAATGATTTCAAAAAATGCTAGTAATAGTTATGAATGTGGAAGAACATACAGTATTATTGAACTTGTTAGACGTGTAAGTGTTCCTAGGATAGTAACAGTGTAAAGTACTACATGGTTTTAGTTTTTCTTCCTTTTTTCTTTTACATTCAAAATCTCATAGTTGAAAGAAGTTGATAGAATGAAAGAACAAACCTGAATACATGGATATAAATCCTTAAACAAATTTGGGGCTATAGTAATCATTTACAAGTACTCATTTGTTAGTCCCAGTGAGTTACCTCTCTAGTCAAATACGGATCTTTTGGAGACTGTGATTGACTACTTCAAATTAAAATCCAGTGACAGAATGGATTACTGAGGTTGCAATTTGACTAAAAAAATACTTAGCAAGCATGTTTTCTCTTATTTGTAGTGAAAACAGTCTGTTGAAGTTTGTTTAGTGTGTTTGACAACAGACAGTTTGATATATTGCTGGGCACAGCAGTAGGTTGGACTTGAGTGGTATTAGCTTTCACTGTTTTGATTAATGGTAATTGTTTCGATGAAAAGGCATGTTTTACGTACAACTCATAGTTCTGGAAAACAGAAGTCAACTTGCAAGATCTGTAATTACTGTTCTGAGTTAGCATATAAAAAATGCTTGGAGAACATGCAGGCAAATCACAGTAGGGTTTTTTTGGTATGTCTGTTTATTTTGTATGGGATTGCATTTTGCATTTTGTAGCTTTTATACACTGCTTCTTGTCTGAGGGAATAAATCTTCGGTTTTATCTCTCCTTGAATACTGCAATGTGCTTTAAGATATATTTCAGAATTTCACATTGTAGTTTCAATCTTGGTATGGTGAAATTTTTGTTGTGTTTTCAGTCATCAATAACAGCAACAAAAGGTCAACCTGGAGACTCCTCACATCCCCACACAGCCCTGCAGGGAAGGAAAAGATACCCCTTCATCTTTAAAGTCTGTTTTCTCTGGTTAGAAAAACACTGTCTTCTCCTACTCTCAGAATGTATTTTCTAGTTTTCCTAAGATACTTTTTTTTTAAAATAAATATTTTATTTTCAGTGTTGTCGTCAGAAGAGGGAAATAGCTGATTATTTTTGTATTTAGGTAAATAAAAGATTGCAATGATGTGTTCAGATGTAAGCCAATACCAGCATAGTAAAGGATGTCAACTATTATTACTAATACCATCTTTCATTTATATAGTGCTTTCATCCTAAAAGATTCTGGTTTCTAGAAAATGTAGATTTAAGCCAAAAACACAATTAAAAATATATCTCCTTGTCCCTGCATGTTAGCTTCGAAGTATTGTTTGTCAGTTTAACAGACAGTACCAAAATATCTTTCTTCTGCTTTGCAGATGCAAAAATGTACCATGAAATGAATATGCTGAAAGTACAGTTAAACCATCTCTAGAAGAAGAGAAAATTGGTTTTATAGGTTCCTCATTTTATGACATGCTTTCTTCTCAGATTTTAATATTTTGCAACACGTTCTGAAAGAAGAAATGAATAGATAGTGGTTTTCTATATCTGAAACATGTAGGGGCATCACAACCTACCTGAATTGTTCCCTAGACAGTATTAAAAAGAAAGCAGTAATATCTAAATTGTAGAGGGAGGCAACTAGATTTCTAAGTGTGGTGCCAATGTTTGTAGTCAACAATGAGACATTAAAAAAATTGTAGCCCATGTTGATAACAGCAGGGTTTGAGGTTTGTATTATTAGAGCTTGCCTAAAAGTATTAACACACAACTCATGTATAGCCTTTATATAAGCTATGTTCTATTATATATTTTGGGGGGAAATAAAAATCTGTAAAGCATGAAATTGTGGTGTTACAAAACGATTATTTCTAAAAGTGAATTATCTCGTCTCATAGTAGTACTAGCTTGGATTGCTATGTTAGATGTCAGGTGGCTTATTTCTGAGCAAAATACAAATTAATAAGTGTACATTTTAATACTTACCTAAACCAGTGACAAGAAAATAAATACTACTTTTTATTTACCTTGCAGTTAACAACCATGTGTCATTGTGGCATCTTTTATTGAAAGGAACTTTATTTAAGTAGCATAAACTTGTTGGATGGGCTTCAATTAAATGATGATTTGTTAATGCAAATGTGTAGCGAATGACTGGTAGTACATCTGTCTCTTCATCCATAGGCCATTACTGTGCAGCATTAGCACATGATTGT